GATAACAGGAGGTCTAGATGCTCTTGAGTTCATTGGGAAGAAGACGATGGACGTGATAGCAGAAGGTGATCCTGGCTTTAAAAAGACCAAAGGACTGATGAGACGGAACGCCACTCTCTCTCAGGTCGGTAGTAAATACATAAACAAGCTAAAATCCTAAAATCTCACTCAAACTTAACGGACAAGAGGGAACATATATATATGAAGACTTTAAAGCTTAGTGGCTGACATAGATTTCTGGAGCCGTGTCCCTTTCATGTGTCACACTCTCACAACTCTGTCACTCTTTGTTTCTCAGGTGCTGAGGGAGGCGAAGGAGCGAGAGGAGCTGCAGTCAGCAGACAAAGACTCGGCAAATTCAGACAAGAAGGTGGTCGCTCACTACGGGATGCTGTTTGATGAATTTCAGGGTCTGTCACACCTTGAAGCTCTGGAGATTCTGTCTCAAGAGAGTGAGTCAAAGGTACAATGAAAGTCTCTGTCAAAATATCACTTCTGCTGTAGCTAAAAACACACAAAGACACTGTTTCTATGCTTTACATTTCAGGGGAATCTAGCAAAGGCGTCATTGTGTGTATTTTCTCTTGCGTGTGCTGTAGGTGAAGTCAGTGCTCTTGACTCTATCAGGAGACGAGCTGGTTGAGCTCAGAGATGAGCTTGACCAAATCAAAAGCTCCTTCTCCCTGGTGGAGTTCGATGATGAGGAAGTTGATGAGAGTAAAGGTAACGTCTTTTAAATCGGCTATAAAAGTTTCACAGCTGCAAGAAGAACCTGAAGTAAACGATGGTGCATTTCTAATTGCAGATGAAGACGGATCAGAGTTTGAGAGGGAGTTAAAGGAGGCCATGGAGGGCCTCAGTGTTTCTGCAACTGCAGACAAACTCAGCAAGGTACAGCTCAAACAATTCACTGTGCAGAATCATATTCCTGCCAGTTTCTGACTCATTATTCGAAATGTTACAAAGATCTTAACTTGTCTCCCTTGTCGTTAATTTGATGGGAAAAGTAACAGAAATATGTCAGATACACTCATAGCTTTTAAATCTATTAGACTGGGCACTTTCTGATTTACATTTCCTGTTAAAGTATGATTGCTAACATCCAACAGGCCTGTAAGAGCTCCTCCAGCCTGATTAATGAGCTGACCAAACAGCATGTGGAAACAGATGTAAATGAGGAGGATGTGAAGAAGCATAGTGTGGAGGTATGTCTTACTGACATCATCAACATATATTT